GAAAAGGTACAAAAAATTGAATTTTTATATATCCGTAGTCCACATACCAAAAATAAAACTGTTGACGGTTTGAATTTGGAAGGCTCGCTTTTTCTTCGCTTTTGTGTTCGACAGGCTGGACCATGGCCGATCCACGATCTTTCAGAGACAAATATTATAGGTTGCGAGAAAAATACGATGCCCTTAATAAGGTTCGCTACGATTTTTTAATTTTAATACATATGTATATATGTACATATATTTTTTCTAGCTTATACGCGTGTTAGTTCATTTCGAAAAAATGTGAACTTAGACTTTCCTAATTTGCGTAGCAAAGGGACGAATTGAAACAAAACCTAGAGATAACCAAACACAAGGCACGCAAGCTAAAAGAGCATAACAAGTACTTTTTTTTTATTATTATTTCGTTTAGATCGTGAATTCGTTTCAAATTTTAATTAGTTTTTCTTTTTTTTTTTTTTTTTCCTCATACTTGTCCTTTTTATTCCCTTTTACTTTTCTTTATAAACCTTTATTCCATTTTCCCATTTTTCTATATTTTGTCACTTTTTTTCTTTCTTTCACTATTTTTTTCAGCCGTTTACTCGACTTAATGATGGACATGAATCCCAGTCTTGTTGATGACGTATCCGGGTAAGTGGTTTCAAATTGGTTAATTTTCTTTGTAATTGATAAACGACTTTATTTCTTTTCTAGTTTATTTTTAAATAATTATTGGTTTGACAATCCATTTGTTAATTTTATCCTTTCCTCTTTTATAGTAGCTCTTCGTCTGATGAGTCAGACGTACTATCTGATGCAACCTCAGATGATCTCGATACTAGTATAACCACTATTAGTAGATACGGTATCTATCTATAGTTTAGTTTATATGACTAAAATTTTTGTCGTTCTATGCTAAAACATTTTAATTTATATTTCCTTTTCTATTGATCTATTTCTTTTTTCATTTTATCCTTCATTTATCTTCTTTCATTCCTCATTTATGCCTCATTTACTCTCCTTTCATTTATTCCTTCCTCATTTATTTCTTATCTATCCTTCATTTGTCTAAGAACAACCAAAACAATCGCCCAGAGAGTATAGAAGA